TTTTTTTTTTTTTTGTTTTAGTATCACCACTTTAATTATAACTGCTCGCTTTTCTTTTACTTATAAAAAAATGATTTTTTAAAAGAAAACTTTTAGTTACTGATTTAACTGATATATATTTTTTAACTTACGTACTTTTTGCTTATCCTGTAGTGTGCAAACTCCAGCTGTCCCGTTATTGGGTTATGAACAGTTGCTCTACTGAGCTAAAAAAATAGTAACATAATTATATCAGGGAGTAAAGTTTCTTTCCTCAAAAGACCATGTTGCAACTGCACTTTTGTCTGTCTCCAACAAGTTCCGCAGAGGAACTCTAAAGGAAATTAAATGTGAAGTAAAAGAGCGTCCTTACCAAAGGTTTTGATATCTTTATAACTTTGTCGATTTCAGCATCACTCATTATATTGCGCAGGATCATGATGTCCGGGTTTGTAAAGACCACCTCAATGGGACACCGTTTAATGGTACAGAGAGGATGGCCTGTCTTGTAGTAACACCTGAGTCTCTCTGGGCTTTGAGGCGCCTGATGCGAAGACCAAACAAAACGTAGGCCAGTAAGGTAGGTTAGCACAAGTCTACAGCCATCCATAACCATCCCAACCCTAACCCTAAATATATATTTATATGGTGGAGCCCCTTTTAGATATTTAGGTCTCGATCTCCCACTGGAAAGTAGCCAAACTCTAAGCCGGAGTAACAGGAGTCCACTCTGAAAACAGGAGTGACTTTGGACGGGGTAGAAGCTTGGGGACACAATATGTTTTATATTTTTTACTTTTTATAATCTGATACGTAATGTTTTAAAAATCTTATAAATCCCTTTTCGGGAATATTCAGTGCCGTCTCCAGTGACAAACGCTGCCCTAGTTCAATACGATATACCTCTCCTGTTAACATACAATTGGCGAAAGGACAGCACAGTTCTTCCTGGACAATTCAAATTTCACGCGCACCGGTCATATGCAATGCAAGGACTGAAACACACGATCTACCCACCAGGACACCGCGCCTCGTTTTCATTACAAACGACCTATCTAACTGCAAGTTAACAGTGAATATTACTCTTACTGTGTTTCTGAAGTGTTTCGGTTTAATGGCTTACGTGTGGCATAGGATCTCCTCGACAGAGTTTCTTAAAAATGCGTCTCTCCTCGAACCAGTCGAAGTTCTTCAGCGTCGACTGAGGAAGTTTGCTCGCCAGATACGGGAATTCACGTTCCTTATTTTCTGGTTTCTTTGATTTCTCTTCTCCAGCTTCCATTAGTAACTCCCTGAAGTTGCCAAGGTTCACCTTGGATCGTTCATGATCTGGCACTGAAATGAAAAAAACAAAACAAAACAAAACAAAAAAACAAAAAAAGGGGGCGTGAAGAAGGTTAAACCAAAGGCTAATTGGAAGTTTGGTTGGTGTGTTCGCCGATATCTGAGAATTGAAATCTTAACTGCCAGCTAAGAAAAGACACGTTTTTTAAGTGATAACCAGATCGGTAGTACACCGACAGCAGTCCACGAGAGCAACGAAAAATTGAACTTATCAATTTGAATTATCACTCGAACGCAGCCTCCTTAGTCGAGAGTCGACAAGTGGAATAGGTCTACGACAAGATTTGAAAAGTATAAGCCTTGAACAAGGAAACTAACTAAATATTAAGAGAAAAAGCAACAATGTGATATGCTTACCGACTTTAAGGGCTTCAATAGTGTAATTTATAGCACTTCTTACATCGCCGAGCTGTGTGAAAGAAAGGAAAATGTTTCTGTAAACTGAGGCCATTCTCATGTCTTTGACATAGAAATTCCTTCCTCGTTAAAAAGTATGTGGTATTGTAAGCTCCCCACATCTAGGAATGTTTACTCAGTATGAAATTTTTTACCAGAAAATAACGATGTACGAAAAGTCGGCAGTTGTTCGAGTTTAAAGAGCCATGTATGTGAAACAAGGTATTACCCCCTTTCCTCCAGAATGCATCCTCCCTCGGCGCGGAGAATGCATGGCAGGATTAAAGGTAGGATTGTTGAATTGGCCTATAACTTTGACCTCTTTTCAAACAATCTTCAGTTGCCATAGTTACCTGATAGGAAGACCAAGCTAAGTGATCCAGCACAGAAAATCGATTCGGGATCTCTTTCTGGCTACTAGACTCCATGTCTAACAACCTCAGTGACTCGGCCATCCACTGCCGAGTGTTTTCCATGTCCTCGGACACAAACGCTCCGCGACCAAAATTGAACGCGTCCGTAGCAGTCAGCAAAGATCCTGAGGCTGTACGAATACTGTATTTACCGCTAGTGAAGTCGAACGGTTTCAGGTTGTAGACTTCCTGAAGTCTCTTGATGGCGGCCATTGCCCCTTCTAAATCATCCTGTCCAGGGAAGAACTGACGATAGTTCTCAAGCTTGTCAATAAGCAGACCTGTAAATATGGGTTATTGACCAAGTGTGAGATCAAGATGGCTGGATATTGGCCAAGTTCTTTTTTTGCGTGTTTATGGACCGAGACGGAGTCGAGNGGGCAAGATAGCTCCATCTTGCCCGCTCGGGTAGCCAATCACAGCGCAGGATTTGATTCATCTTGCCCGCTCACGGAGCTAGCCATATAATAATTACATTTATGATGACAAACCTTCAAGAAAGAACTTGCTGCGTTTGCAAGACATCTCCGTGCCGTTTTGGCGCACAAGAATAATGATCAACCCTGATCAACACAGTAAAAACCCGCGTGTAAGAACCTTAGTGGTTTAAGAACCTCCTGCCTAGACTGCAAAACAGTCGTATTTTTTGCGAATGCGGGCGACGGTCAATATTCGAACGAAAGGTCTGGAGCGAGTGTAAAAACGGCGAGGGAGAATGGTGAGAGAACCCTACGGGCGGGTGACGCTCGCGCGCTTCACACGCAAGGATCGCGCGCTTACGGCACTTCGCGCCTTCCGAAAACGTCCGAAAACGACTGTTTTGCAGTCTACCTGCTGGCAGAAATTTGCCATTTTAAAACCCAAAAATATAAGAACATGTTTAGCCAACCAAGATCGAGCAGGTTCTTATATGTGGGTTACAGTTAAATTATGATAAACATTTTAATCAAGGAGTGTGTTCTTGAAATTGCAAATATATATCGCAAGAAGATACACGTACATAAATACAATTGTGAGCAAATACTGTATATTAAAGGATCAAACCCAAGATTATTTATTTTTCTGGTCATCAACAACTATACATCCTTCATAGAAATAAGGACCTAATAACAATCAACTTAGCCTAAATTGCCAATAACTACGCCAAAACACAACTACCTATTTTGTCAGAGTTTTAGCTCACATGAGGGTTTTACTGTATTGAACCATATGCTTAGTTGATCTGTGTCGTAACATGGGAGTTGCACTCCAAATGTCTATCATTACAACGCGAGATCAAACGACCTGGAATGCACGAGAATTCGCATCACTGATCTTGCCATCAAACAAAAACAAAACTACAGTCGAGCCGAACCCCGTGAAAGTTTGCTCAGGTCAAATTTGCAGAAAACGAGAGCACATGGAAATTGCGGTTTGCCAAACGAGAGAAAACGCTTGGACTCACGCGATGTGAACATGAGGAATCTAAAAATGGGATCGTAATCTGGAGTAAATCATTCACTTTTCTATAAAATAAGGTTACAGTGTTTATGAAAATAGCTATTTTAGCTGTTAAATAACCCAAAGATTGTTATAATCTCGTATGGTTTGGTTTTATCGTTATGTCAAAGTTAACCTAACGCATCTTTCAACTACCGATGATCTTAGATCTCTGATTGTAAAAAGTTCTGCAGCGAAATTTCGTTTCGGTAAAGAAAGCGTTCTCTTACGATCGATTTATAAACAATTTTTAGCACCTAAATAGCAAATATAAATATTGCTGGTTTTTATTTTATTTAATGTTTCTTATTATTTATAGCAGTAATTGTAATTTGTGACATAACGTATAGATGTCGGTCGGACCTTTTAGCGTTTGTCAAAAAAATAATTTTGATCAAGGACTTCTCATTAGAGACCTCGGAAATTGGAGCAATATTTAATTATTACTATACGTCGATAATAGGTTCCCCAATTTATTACATTTAGCAGTTGATGGACGGAAATAATTTAGAAATGTGCCAAATTTGTAACATTCAATTTACCGTAAGCTTTGCGTCTGAAAAGTCAACGTTAAATGAAGCATGCAGATTAAATAAAACTTCTCTCGCCCAGATTTAATAAAGGCTAAGACAAATAATGTGTTTGTTTTTCTTAGCTCTTCGATTAAAACACTCACCTTGTTGTTAAAAACCTTTTGAAAGAATCGGAAAGGTTATTGAATCGCATCGATGCATTTGGAGTAGTTATATAAATTCGTTTTAAATTTAAACATAATATGGAAAGCTAAGTACGCAGGCTAAAAGGAAAAGAAAGCTGTAGCAATTTGTAAATATACTGATCACATATATAAGATAATAACGATTTTAATCTAGCGTTTTGCAATGTCAACGAAATATAACGCTTGGTACTTCTCACCGGAAATAATGAAACATCAGTCACATTAACCTCATCTATCAATCACAAGCGTTTTTGAACAACATTCACGCAAGACCTTTCCTTTTCTATTCAAAAAGATGTCTTCCTTTCCTCTGCATTTTGGTCACTTTTTAGGGACGCTGTTATACTTGTACATGCAAATAGCCCTTTCACACAACAAAATATCTAACATTTTCCGCATCGATAGAGTTTAATTTATCCGTCCGACAGTTCAGTGTTTTTCATTTTTTCAGTCCCATTCGTTGAATCGATTCTTGTTGGTAGCATTGATTCCTTTGAATTACCTTTCTCGCCCTTTCAAGGTGACCTATTAATAAAGTCGTTTTCTACCTCGACGTGGTTTTATACTTACTGACAATCTGACAAATTTACCTTCTGCGTCGCCTTCCTGTTCAATCGATTTCACGTGTTGCGTCCATTCTTTCACGAGTCGCTTGATCATTAAATAAGTGTTCACTGGGTGTCCAATATATTCATCCCTGTTAGATATCGCTCTGCCCATTGCCCTCTTCACGTCCTCGTTAAAGGATCGTAATTTCTTCAGCCGCGATTCTTGTTCAAAGAGGTAATCTTCGAGCGCGTCGGAGAGTTCCATTTCGATATTTATTAACCGTTCCACATGGGACAGCGCGGTAAAGATCTCCGAGTCCACAAATCTAGTTGTCGATAGAAAATAAGCGAGCGCAGTCAAAAGCATAAGTCTCGCCGCCATAACGTAGATTATGCCGCGTTTAAATAACTTTACGCAGAGATAACTTCAATTCATTTCAGGCCTGGTCGCGGTCGTGAATAGCCATTTGTTTATCTCCCGACAGCGAAATCACGCATGCTCCAAGAAATAAAGTGTTGAGGAATTCTTTGATCTGCCTAAAGCTAATTCCTTGATAGGAGAATCCGTAATGTCCCGTAACTTCCTGAACGTAAATAAATTTAAACCAGTACTTCAAATGCAGAGTTTTACATACAAATCTGTGTCAAAACAAGTCAATTTCAAAGACTGGAGGGTAACGCATTCTTCAAAGTCAAGGTACCCGTTGTTATTTCAACGGCGCTTTGTAAATTATTAAAGAGTCTTTGAGTGAGGTGTGACAAGTTAATTAGTTATGCAATGGAGTCGTGCTAGTATTCATGCCTCGTCTTTTGACGGAGGGTTTAGTTTTTCCTGGCCGTTGGATCACAAAGCCATGCCTTTCATAGTGCAAAATTTGTTGAATGAATGCGAAATGAAATACATTTGAGGTTGTGTGGTACCGCGAGTTGCGTGATGTATAAATCAGTGGTTGCGCCTTTTCGAACTGAGGGGCCTGGGGATAGTACAGCAAGGCTTACATCGACATCATTTGCGATGTATGTAGCTTCTCGTAGCATTTCACTGAGCCGACTGGTGACAAAGCCCGGGGGGGGGGNTCGGATTTTGGTCTCGCTCAGGGTGTTCTGGTCAAAATGTCACTATTTTTAGCCGTCAAGGTCTCGTTAAGGGTTGCACGTGAAGAAGTAACAAAACAGAAAGAATTTTGATTCTTTATAGTTACTCAATTGATATAAACAAATTCGCCATCATTAAAAGCCACTGTACCTTTTATTTGTCTGTTTTATAAACTGGTCTCTTTTAGGGGTCTGCATAAGCTTCGGCCACGCCCAGATTGGTCTCTTTTAGTGGTTAAATTCAAAATTTCCGACGAGCATCCCCGTCCACTCCATATGGGAGTCCCCTCCCCGCCGGGTGACAAAGAGTAGTCTAAGAATGAGAAAGCGAAATTAAGGTGCTTCACTTACAAAGACCTTTGTAAATCACCTTCTTTTGACGAGACTAACCGGCTGTCAAGATGTACAACAATCTTCGTTGTTATTTTTTAATAGACTTGAGTCTAAAGAAAGGCAAAAAAAGCAGGTAAGGAAAATCTGAAGCTCTTCTCCTATTTTAGTGCGCATTTTACTAGTATTTTGTTGTACAGTCTAAATCGTGCCTATTGCAGAATCGAACAAACGATTGTGGCAGTGGTCACTTGAGTTTTCCCGCGGGTATTTATCACGCAATCTTTTTGCTTGTTGGGCTGTGAAGCAACGATTGCGTGATAAGAAAAAAAAACGACCTCGAAAGAAGTTTGTTAAATTCCCATTACACTTGGACCTTATATGCATTTTGACCGGCGCCGGAATAGAAATCGAGGATTCTGTGACACGTCCGGCATGCGACCGAGTCGCGCGTGACTGGTGTAACGCATTTCTTGAATTGAATAATTGCTCCCGTTGATATATCTTTTCTCTGTGATCCTCGCGATCACTTCCTTTTCACCAAACTAATAGCACAGTACGACGATACGAATACGACGATCTGAATTAAGACTTGGGTCATCCTACGCGGCTTGTCACGGACCTCCTCTCCAAGATTGCGTGACGAACTAGTAAGAGGCTATGAGGGTTAAGACGGTTTTTCCCCGCGATTCAAGCTTTTATATTGGGTTTAAATCAGTTTGCTTTGTGGTTTCTGTTTGCTGTAATTCAGTTATTGTTTTCTTTAAAAACACAGAGTACATGATAAATAGAAAACACCTCCAGTCGAATTGTATCATAGCAGGAGCCCATTACCCATTACCCATTAATGGGCTCCTGATCATAGTTAATGGAGGGGAATGGTATATGAAACCCGAAAAAGTTCTTAGTTGTATGTTTTTGTTCGCTTTTTTGGCCTTGAACGTGCATAAAACACAGTAGTCGTTTACTCCGTACTGAGGAACTAACCAATAGAAACGTTTTGGTTACGTAATTCATGCAAAGTGTATGAGCGCAAAACAAAAGTTTGTGCACGGTCGTGGACCTTCCAACATAACTCTTGAAATCTTTGTTTGCTCATTTGATGTTTGCCGGGCTTCATAACCAGTCCCCTCCATTAACTATGATTTAATGTATATAAGTATTTTTCAGTTTGGATATTTGAAAATCTGGATATGAGTAGCTTGCGCGGGTGGAGTGAGCTGGTGGTGTTAAGGCTCTAAACTTGAAATTGATTCTTCTTTGGAATTCAACTAGTCCACGATGTAAAAAGCCAACTGGCCATTCTCCCATTACTTATAAGTTCCTTGACAAGTACTGAGTTCTATTCAGTTTACCATATTCTTTTGTTTATCTAGTGTCCTCAACAAGCACAACGGTGCTAGATACCGTAACACCATTGTTTTTACCATGACAATGGTTTATTGTATTTTTATTTAAAAAGATAAACCCTGCCGTAAAAAGACAAAGGAAGATGTAGATCGATAAAGCAGTTACAGGGTTCAAATGTTTTCTATTAATTTTTAACTTTTTTAGCCTTTTAAATACATCTTAGTTTGATTCTTAGCAGCTTCCAAGGCAGAACTGACTTTCACACTGAAGTTACTTACTAGTAATCTATACTCTAGTTTTATTCATTAAAAGTATTTCAGTTAAAAATAAAATTTTGACCTGCCGTACAATTGAAATGCAACCGAACGATGTTCCTTCGAAAGAATTTCAAAAGGTGTTATGTATTGTTTTGTTCTGCAATTCTATTTCAATGAACACTTAACAAATTCAAGAAAACGAACTGAAGACGTGCCAGAATGAGTCTCAACCTTTCTGACCTTTGTCTCCTGAGTTAAACAACTCGATAAAAACTTATACCACAAACACCTGGAGGGGCCGCATATTAAAACGTCAAAAATGATCGAATTAACCTACCACTGGACGGTTTCAACATTCTCGCATAGTCGGAGCTCATTAGCTTTTTGTGTCGGTGTATTTCGTTGCGTGCAAAAGCTCCAATTATAAATGGAGATTCAACAGCGCTCTTTTAATTAATTTTTAAAGGATCACTCTTCGGATAAACAAACTCAAACTGGCAGCTGCGAAGAAGCGTAGAAACCGGACAACATTCCAGCGAAGAGGCAGAGTTGCAACCGTGTATCGCGGTGAAATGACGATGTAAGCACCCTAATGTCACAGCCGCGACGAAGTTGATCGGTAACGCCTGAAAGATAAAATAAACACCTCCAGGAATTGTCAGGTAAATACGAGGTTAAATTCCAAGCAGTATAACACATCGATAGCTTTAAATGTTTTCAAGAACAATTTATTCAATCTTTACACGCACATCCCCGGATAGCACAAGTACATATTTAATATATTTGCTGGTGAATCGTTCAGGGTAACAATTGTGTAGCAAGTCCCGGTACACTGAGAGTTAGTCGCGATGAATATGTATCTCTAAGCTTCCTTAAGTTTGAATTCGAAAAGTCCGTGTGGACAAATTTGGGTATCTATTATATTTCTTTGGAATAATCTGCTTGAAGTATTTTCGCTATTAAATATGAATGGAATGAAGCCAAAAAAAGACTTTCGTACTCTGTAGCTTGCATCAAGTTTAAACACGAATTAAATATTCGCTGAACGTAGCGTACAGTTTTCGAGCCTCTCACTGAAAGGAAGCAAGTCCAATCCTACTAGTTTCATTTAAAACGCAGGTATGTTTGAAACACAATGGTTTACAATTTAAACAAAAATAATCGATAACAAAAGTTTCTGTCTGTTTGTATTTATAATCCCAAATACGCTATGAACATGGTTCATTCTGTTGGTTCGTTACGTTCTTTTCATGTATTTGAATTAAAACCCTGTTGAGATAAGAATTATAATTATGAGTTCAGAGAAACCTTGTTATTTTAATTGTTTTTTTTCAGATATATTTTTATTTTCAGAGTTTCATATGGATCTTCTTAAGTTAGCTTAGCTCGAAAGAAATTGGTACAGACAATATCTCTTAATTGACTCACTGTTTAGTTCAATTACCATCTGGAACGTGGCATCTTATGTTATTGCACAAGAGAAATTAATATTCCTGTTTGATTCCAGCTCATCTTGTCGAAATGAAGGGTCTCAGTAAGCGGTGTTTCAATTTTCTATAACCCAAACAGCCTTGTATATTTCCACACACGAATGTCTCGCGTTTTTAGCTCCGGGTTCCCTGTAAAGTTATACTTCGTATTCAGGGTTCAGTTTGAAGACACAAAATACAAGCTTGACTTATACAAGTATCACCTAACCTCAACAAAATATTATAAATTAAAGCATTCCTCGGCAGCAGCCCTGGGGAACCCTTCATGTTCCCAGCACACTCGATGAAAATATCACCCGGGCTTACCTAAAAGTGATTTTCAACCCAGCAAGCTAGACAGACGATCAAAAAAAACATTTTTTATAGATTTGATATTTTTTCCATGGAAAGCACACCTCAACAGAGTGAAATAAACTTGACTCCAGAATCTACCAGGGGGGATTTAAGCACGCTGGTATATAACAAAAAAAAAATGATATAAAAAATAATAATAATAAAACGAAAAATCTTTACCAGGTTTCGAAAGCCCTGATACTGGACAGTGTGATAATTAACGAATAGCCAAAGTTAAAGCTTTCAGGCTCGCAAAACGTTTAGAAGAGTAATTCAAAACACTTTTTTTGCACTTTTCTCTGTAGCAATGCATTATTGTTTATACGTAGTATTGTGGTGTCGAAGATTATGAATTTCCATAGTCACAACAGTGGACTCACATCTACCGAATTTTTACTGTTTATAACTTAAAACTTAACAGGAGCCATAATCGGGGACGGAGACCGTAAGCGCGCGCCATTTCTAGTACTGGGGTTGTCCCCATGATATGGGACAATAATTCTATTTTTAGAACAAATTGCTCCATCGCTTGCGGCACACGCGCGTACATGCTGCGAGGATTTTTGCGGATGTCGCGCGGGGGAAATGGCGTCCCAAATTCCCGAAAATTTTCATGTTTTTGGCTCACAACTCAACGCGTTTGCGTCTGTTGGAATTTTTCTCAAGTATTTTCGTCGTAAGCTGCTCCAGTTTGAGTGAAGTAAGACAGTGTCGAATTTA